TGGGGTAATCGGGATGGGTGTGTCAGAGGCGGTGCGGTTGGCGCAGGATAGAGCAGGGTTTAGAGCTGTTGTGCATAGGGTCGCTATGAGTCGAAAACGACTTGATGGCACATAACAACAACAACAATCATCTTATATTTCATTTTTCATTTCTTACTTGAATGCATACACAATCACTGGAGCTAGAGCAGTCTCCTTGGACCACTATGCTGAAACTGAGCATCAAAAATTTAGAACAAACAAACTAAAAGGCACGTGGTTTGGATCCACCAACTTCCTCACAGGAGAAAGATGAGCAACCTCCTCCTGTGTGATTTACTGCCTCTGAAAACCTGCTACAGGACCAGCTACGAGTCGTTCCAACCCATCAGGAAACAATGAGCAAGAACACTACTAATGATGGCAAACATTTCCGTTAACACAGGAGCATTTCAATAAACTTCTAGACTGCCAAAGATGGACTATTCCTCATCCTTAAAAAAAATGAGAAAGATCTCGACACAAGGGTTTGAAAAAACAACAAAAAATGAGAAAGCTGACATGAGTGATGTAAAATTAACAGACATAAAATTAAGTGAAAGAGATTTATAAAACATATATTTAGAGGCTTGGAGAGGGTGGCCATTGTGTGTAATAACCAAGATCATGTTTTCATCCAAAACAGATCTCATAGAGGACATGAAAAGGAGGATGTGAAGCAGGATTCTCAAGCAGCATTTCCAGGATTTCGTGGCATAGGCGGACATCAGAAAGTGATAGGGAGGAGAAGGTTGCTGGGAGTGCCCACTTTGGCTAAGAGATAGATATAGACCTCTCAATGCCACCTGCATGAAAAATATGACACAGGATATATATTACAAGGATTCTTCTGATGAGGAAGAAACTTGCAATAAAAGTTCAAGGGAGATCCAATCTACTGACATAGAGAAGGGTGAATCCACAGACAGAATGCAGGAGAGTGAAGAGTGTCGCCCAGGAGACCGAGGGGTGAACCTCGTGGGCCTCAGCTGCCTCCAGATATTTTTTTTTTTATTGTTATGGCAGCAAATGCAAGATTTTAAAACTCAGCAAATACTGGAGATTAACAAACCTTTTATTATGTGCCGACTGAGAATGTAAGCTGTTGCCAAAACATTCTAACCCTGAGGGGAAGAAAAGATTGGGCTTATATGCAGAGACTGGCCATGGGGGTTATACGAAGTTCCCTGTGGTTGACAGTTAAGATTTCCACCCATTCAGGAGTCATTATTGTTTCTGACTTCTCAGGGGAGTCCAGGCTCCAGGCCAGGGACAGGATGCAGGCAGGGAGTGGTAACCAAGCTCGGTCAGCATGTTCTAGGGAACATAAACCTTAGCAACACATCTTATTGCCAAAATTATTGAAGCATACATGTCTTAAAATGGCTGTCAGAACAGTACGGCTTCTCTGATGCTCAGCATTTAAGCTGCTACTACAGTATTGGCTTCCAAGCATTGCTATAAAATACCTGTGCATCTCCTATTAAAACATATACATGCTACGACCAATTGCAGCCACCTCTTCAGGAACTGACGTACATACAGGGAAGTGTTCTCTGAAATAGGATGTCAGATGCTGTGAGCTCATATGGACCTTGAGGCTCCACTCTTGGTTGTCCTTCCTCATCACTGCTGCTGCTGCTCGTGCTGCTGAAGCTACAGCTCTGAGTTACCACAAGAATAAGCAAATCTTTCTCTCCAGGATATGGACAGACTGCTCCTTGGAAACAAAAATGGTCAGATGTTGACCATGCTCCTTAAGACTCTGACCATGCTTTATGGAGCACTCTGTTACATTCCCTCCAAGACAGAATTGGTAGATTTCTTGGCAGTCCATAGGAAATGCAATACTCTTCTTCAACACCACAATTCAAACCCATCAAATCTTCAGGCTTCCTTACTCACTGTCCACCTCCCAGAAAATACCATGACTTTCACAGTTGCACATTATTCTTTAAACTGACATTTGCTTGTAGCCCACACAGCAGACAAGACCATGTGTTAACAGTGTAAATGTTGTTTTTCTGTGTGCCTTCAAGTCATACTGACTCATAGCTGATCCTCCAACAGGTTTTCATGGCTGTAAATCCCAGCGGAGGAGACTGGCCATCTTTCTCCTGTGGAGCAGCTGGTATATTCTAACTGACTCCCTTTTATTTGGCAGTGCAACTCCTTACCACCAAACTATAAAATTAGATGCAGGAAACCCTTGGGGGTGGAACTATGCCAATAAAGTGTATGGAGCAATTGCGGGGGGGGGAAGAATATATTTAGAAAGAATGGGGGAAAAAAGATTTTAAAGGCATGAACAATATAATCTGTGATGCTGATATAATTATAATAAAGAGAAAAATCAGGGTTTGGAAATGTTGAAAAGAAAATCTAGAAGAATATATGCATAAAAAGAGTGTAGAAGAATATATGCTAAAAGTAGTTACTTTAGAAAGTGAGATTACAGAGGATTTGACTTAAATTTTAATTCTTTTCC